GCCATTTGTTGAAAAACTATTTTTGCACCGCAATTGTGTTCTACCATTATGAATCAAGACTGACAAACTAGTGACCTATACCTGCTTTTGAAGCAATAGCCGAATCGACATGATATTAGACGATTTTGGCACTGGCTACAGTAACCTGGTCCCAAGAACCTCGATCGCCCTATAGACAGCGTCATGCTTCCGTCCTAATGACTCAGGTTTACGGAGAATGCTGGCAGAAAAGAATAATTATGTAAAGGACGAAGAAACAGAAGCAAAAAAGTCGTTGGTTAGGGCAAGTTCATGATTTGAACGTAACTGTCAAGAAAACAACCACTTCGTTTCATCAAATACAAGTTTAACGACTGAATACGCACGTATATTGTGTGGAGACGATTTGCAAATGGGCTCTTGCGAAAATATGCCTCAACACTTGTCAAACCAGAAAGTGTACTCCAACAAACCAAAAAAACAGAGAATATTCACCACCCAGAACTCATCCTCTAGATTTTGTTTCCTCATTATCATGATTATCAACTATAAGGTTAATGCTGCCAATATTTAATGTTTAACCAGCCAAAGAGTGTTTGCCATCATTAGGATGAAATTTCGAATAATATCGATTCCTAAACATCAGCTGGCAAAGGACATGGACACCCAATGACGTAACAAGCTCATGACGAAAAGCACCTCAGGAAATTTTTCGTTTCACGTCTGGAAACAACTTCGCTCGTGGATTAGCCGGATGATTCAGTGGATTACTCGTATATGAAGAAACCGTCTCTGCACAAACATTGATTGAAACGACTGCTGGCATCAGTCGCACTCTAATCCATCGATATTTTATAACTTTACGCCTTCCAACCACCGGTGCAGAAAGTTTTCCTCTTGGATCCACTGTACCATTAGAACGCCTTCACGAGTTATCAGACTTTTTTAATGGCATCATGAGTGTTTTTATTAAGACTGTTACAGGAATAGTAGTCATAGGGTGTCCGGCCTCCATTTTATTTGACCCTACATGTGCACAGTTGACTGATCGCCGCCAACCTACTGTCCAAGGTTTGATCCGCCTCATTGCCCCGGATATGCAAAACAGAAAAGATGTCTGATTTATGTTTGTGCTAATTATCACACTGGATAGTCAGCTGTTAGGTTGGGCGCTCTTGACGGATAGCATAGTTGAACATCTCATTCATTCCGGCACGACCAGACCAGAATATCGCGCTGTCCTTGTTATTGGCAAACGAACAACCAGCTGCCCCCCCCCTTCTCGGCTGACTGTGTCGCAGCAACTTTTCGCTAGTTCCCTGATCAATGGAATTCCTGCT